AGAGCGCGGTCTACAGTTTTATACAGTTTGAATATTACAATAACTAATTTCATTCTAACTATAAACGAGAAAGAAACGAAGATCATGTTATACAGACAGTCATATCAAGGGTCACGGATTTTTTATGCTTTCTTTGATGACGATCATGTTATACATAGTGTCATATCGCAATTGTCAAAAACATATATATTTACTCCTAATAGTCAAAAATTATGACATCTTTAACTGAGCAACACTGATTTGATCAACGTAACAAGGCACACAAAATCTCATCATCCTGATCAAATTTAAATCTAAATCCCTCTTATTCTTAATTTTTTTAATTTACATTGACATGTCGCTCTATACATATAACATGACCCAAGCCTTTTGTGACGAATATTTAACAAAATCAATTTTTATCTCCACTTCGTAGAGATGTCATTCTTCTTGACATAAAAATTATTACTAGTGTGCTAGGAAGCTAAGTAACTTGTGGACTTCACCAAGCAATATTATGGTTTAACGAAATTGTAGAAATTGTGGATAAAACTTTATATATTTATATAAAATAAAATTATACATATGAGATAGATATTTCAAAAGTCTAACAAAAACAAAAAGTCTAATAAATCTCAATAAAAATTTCTAAATAGAAAAAATATATGCCATATATATTATATAATCAAAGCTGTGGCGAACCGTAAAGCCACTAATACACTTTATTAATATTTGTATATCGTTAATACCAGAAACTTTATAGCAAAAAAATATGCCAAAACTTTTTTAATTTAAATTGAGACTGACAAACAGAAAAAAAGCATACCGCCAGCGTGAAAATTTTCTTTTTCTGTTACAGTAATGCGTAAGCGAGTAAGATTGGCCTTACCAAATTAATAAAATATTGCCGAAAAAAAATATTAATCTAAATTTCTCAATGACAAGAACAGCTACAACAATGAGAAAAACTTTCCCAGCGAGAAAATGAAAAAATCGATTTCTTATCGACGAAAGACGCCTTGAAATAGGCAACAAAAAATTTCTTACAAAGAAACTAAGAAAAAAATATATATAAATGAAATAATATAAGATAACGAAAACTCACCCTATAAAGTAACCAAAAAGGCAGAATTTCAACAAAAACAGAAAAAAAATAAAGAAAGTGAAATAGCAACGACAAAGTTCACCAAACAAAAAAAAATCCCACTGAAATATGCTGCTATGTCATTATATACTCTGCACGAGTAACAAAACAGCAAACACCCTCACAAATTGGCAAAGGAAATCACAAGCACAAACACAGACTCACAAACAAAGCCAATGACTACAAAACGACAGCATAGTACAGCACAGTACCGCACCAAACTACACAGAGCAGAACATTATGTGGAACAACAAAATCGGTACTAAAGACAACAACACAAAAGGAAAATAAGTATAATGACAACAAATAACGTCAATGCCTTTGCTTTTGCCTTTTGCCAAAAATAATATCATGGGAAAACACAAACACACCCACACACATACAAAGCAAATTTATATGCACAAAGAGGGACTTGATTTTTTAAAATAAGAAAATATAAAGACACTGGGAATTTTCTTAATTCGTAAATATAAAAATAGTTAAAGTCCTTAGCATTAACTAAACACGAAATGTGGCAACACTGTACCGTAGCAAAGAAAATAAATGCTACTAATGGCTGCACAAACGAGGTAATACCGTAGCGTCATCTAAGTGTTGGTTACATGTTATAATACCAAAAGTAACAACAACAATAGCAATAACAGCAGCAGCAGTACCAGCAATAGCAACAACACTATTAGTAGGAATAATAACAACAACAATGACAACAAGAACAGTATCACCAACAAAACAGTGCTCAACCAAGCGTAACATTGGATTTTCATGACAAAAAGGAAGAAAGTGTTGCCAATGCGCCACAAGGTAAAAGCACGAGTACTAAAATATGCTATTTTGCTGTGATTGCTTTTGTTGTTTTATTGTTGTTGTTTGTTTTTTTGTTTTTTTTTTGTTATTTTTGTAACTTCTATGCTAGTATTTATTAACATTTGCGTTTATTTTATATGTACATATATATGCATGCTATTATTTTCATGGGTATTGTTGTTGTAATTGTTGTTGGTAGGTCCCTATACAAAAGCAAATTCAAATTAAAAGCGCATGAAATAAATTTAAAACGAATTCAAATTTTTGTTTTGTTTTATTTTACCTTATTTTATTTTATTTTTGTTACTTTGTTACTTTGTTACAACATAAAACAAATAAGGAAAGCAGGGTCGTATCGTGTGAATACAGAATATAAAAGAAAAAAAATAAATTCAATTTTATGTTGGAAAATTCGAGTATTAAAGCGAGCGCAGGTGCTGAGTTGAGGTGAGAGTTGAAAGGTGCTAACTTTGTTATGGAAAACTGAAACCACTTGTAAGTTAAACGTAATACTAGTCGTTTACATACACACACATCTGTACTTTGAATATACAACACATTTTTTTTACTATAAACCACTTCAGTTAGTCGACACAAGCCAACTCAGCATACTGCCTTCCTTTTTGCCAACCTGCATTTTCTAAACAAATTTAAACTGTCAACAACTGGCATTCAGTACAATAAATGAATCGTTTTCTTAAAAAATATAGTTTTTCCTTAAACGAAAAAAAAGAAACAAAAAAAAATTTCGAAAAATAAGATACGTATGTAGTACAAAAAAAAATTTGGAGTAGGCGATAAATTAAAATAACCTCTTGAAATAGCAATATATGTGCTGCTTGTGCGCTCGCTTGCTTGACTGATTTTTAAAAGGATTTCTTTCTTAGTTTTTAGTTTCTAGTCTCAAAATACTACTTTTTTTGCATTAAATACTGACACATTACTATACACTTTACCTATCCACACATACATCTAGACATTTCCATGCATGCAAAGGTATTAAATTAATGTGTTCACCTGAAATGTAGAACCTACCACAAAATCATATAAAACCTGAAATGCGAACGAAACTTTTTTGCCGTGTATGGTGTAAGGTGTGTGTGTGTGTTGCTGTGTATGTGTGCATAAAAGAAAAATATGCTTTGATAAACTTTTCCTTTTCTTCCATGCTTTTTAGTACTTTTGGCTGGTATTTTGAATTTTGTTTTATTTTCGCTTATATTTATTTATTTTATGCCTTTCTTTTGTAGATAACATCAACATTATGAGTTATAATATTCACTAGACAGTTTTTGCATAGACAAACCAGTAAAAATAAGTAAAAATATTAGAGTTAAGTAAGAGGTTTCCCTGCTAGGCTATAGACCATTTGCAAAATTTCGTGTTGATATTCATGGTAAAATGTATATAACACTGTTTTATACAACATACATACTTCGTACTTGTGTTTGTGTTTGTGTTTCTGTATCTCTCCAGGGTTTTATTTCTGCAGCTACTATTTTCTAGTAAAATAAGTAGCAAAATGCTTATGTAAACGAATTTTAATTTAAATTTATAACAAACTCTTTTCTATGCTAAATTTTTACCTTTTTATGCAAAGGTAGTAGCAGTAGTTGTCTATGTAGATTTGTGTGGATTTGCGTATATTTGTATGTGTTTAAATTTTGTATTCTATGATAAAGCTCCGGCGTAAATATTGCTACTTATGACCTTTTTTCTGCTTAATTTTATTTACATTAAATTAATAAAGGTAGCAGCACGAACAAAAAAATATAAAAATAATATTATTTAAAATCCTCTTTTTTTACTCCTATTTAATGCTTCACTTAAATGGAATATTTTTAATTTGGTTTTGTATTCGGTTTTATGGTTTCCACATAAAGTATTTTATAAAATCTTTTGTACTATAATATATTATAGTTTTAAGCTTAAAATGTGACTATATGTAATTTTAATTTAAAACATCAAATTAATACACCAAAAAAATTATACAAAATAATTTCTTTTTGAGTGGCTACTGAAACCTTATCTCACCGAATGATTAGTTGGTTGCAGTGGCAGGCAATAGATATCCGTCAGCTGTCCATAATTACCGATTTTTGCCATTTTACTACCACATTGCTTGCAAGAAAGCTAAAGATTTATAAAGACAACAACTAAATTTATGCCGTCGAATTTAGATAGTTTTTTTAGACAAAAAAATATTTTTCTAAAAACCTATTTCTTCTGAAGCCAAAAACTTGTCTTTCCTCGAGAAAATACCTAATTTTTTTGTTAGAAGTGTCGACGATTTCTTAATCTTTTAATGAGTTCTCAAGATGTGGTCTTGTTGTGTGAGAGCCATATTAACCGTGGAGTTACACATACCTTAAGTGTCTTCCAATTTTTAAGGATGCATGCGATATCATTTATAACGATTATTTTGAAATGGGAAAAATGATCAAAATTGAATATTAATCAAAATTGTTACAGATTTGGCGATAATTTTAAGGGAAAAATATAACAGTTTGCAAATATAATATGGTCCTCTTTCATCAAGTGATAAACTTCAACTGCAGTCAGCATATTTACTACTTATAGTCTCTTGCGATATTTCTTGTTTGCTGAAATGGTCATCACGACAATAAATGTCAATTTTGAAGTTCTGTTTAGACAACATATTATATATTAATTGTAGAGATTAAAAATACAACTAAACGCGGACTGAAGTATCAAGTTAAAAATTGGTGAAAAAATTGTTTTTTTTTCTAATAATGACAATTTGTATTAAACTTTTAAAATTATCTATAATATTATGCAATAATCTGATAAAAAAAAAAGAACTATAAAAGGTAATAAGGTGATAAAAGAATGGTGTCCATAATTTCCAGATTAAAACGTTGTTTTTTTTCTAATAACTGACAATTTGTATTAAACTTTTAAAATTATATATTATATTATGCAATAATCTGGTAGAATAAAAAGGGAATTACAAGAGGTAAAAAAAGAATAGTGTCCATAGTTTCCAGATTAAAATTTTTTTTTAAAAAGTCATTAAATTCTCAAACTGCTACTTAGATTTAAGTTCTTAAATGTTGATGGATTACTAAAAAAACATTTTTTAAAAATTATTTAGTGCTGAATAATTACATAATTTTCGTTAAAGTATTTTAACCAGGCTTTATCGTATTAATTATATTAATCTTAAATTCTAGCTAAGGTGTGTAAATGAGGTCTTTGATTCGGTAAACTGTGGTGAAAAACGTGGTACAGCATGTCCGCATCTTCGGTGGAAGAACCGGGTGTCCAACAATTTAGCACCTGCACTGGCTTAGTAATGTTGTGGAAGAATAGAAGAAAATGCTCCGGATAGAAAGGTGAGCGATTCTGTATCCGCTAACGGAAAATGTAAATAAAGAACGACTGTATTTTTGTTGAAAGGCACAAAGGCATTTTGTATTACTTATTGGCAACAGCTAGCAAATGATCGGTCTGACTGGCGGAGGTTACTGAAAGCAGCCAAGTATGACTTATGTCTGTAACGACCATCTAATTAGAAGAAAAGTAAATTTTGAAGTATATCACATTTTTTTTTATCTTAACTGTTAAATCTTTAAAAAGTATTTCATTTTGCTGCTGTAGCATTTTATCGAAAAGTAGACCAATTAAAAGAAAAATAACTAAAAGTTAGATTCATTATTTTTCATAACTTCTCATTCTAGTTATTTTTCCATTATGTAAATATATACATAATTAAATGGGCGAATTTTAAATAGCTTTCGCTATTTACATTGCATGAGTTAACAAGAACTTAATCCTAATAACGAACGATTCGCTTATTGTGCAATCAAATCGCATTATTATCTGCAATGAAATCTGAACAAAGCGCATAAAAAATCCAATTAAATAAATAAAAAATGCTTCATTTCAAAAATAACCAAGCACAAAGTTGAAATATAATTTTTGCTTTTTTTTAAATATTTTTTTTCTTCGCAATTTACTATCTAAGAGGAATATTTTATTTTGCACGCATCATAGCCTCAATATTTCATTTTTCATTCGTTGAAATATGATTTCATCTTGCAGCTCTTCATTTATATATCATTCTCTATATTTTTTTCATTCTTTCAGTTTTTTATTTTTTCTATTTTTTATTTTTTTAATTTTTTTATTTTCCTATTTGTTTTTGTTTTCCTTTCAATTTCGCTTTTTCTATATTAATATTATTTTTTTACTTATGCATTATTAACCCTCCACACACACACACACAGCAAATCTATTCACAATTTGATGGTAAAAAAAGTATGATTTTTCTATTTAAAATACAATTGCAATGATAAAAAAATGAAATGGAATCCACTTTTATCAGCGCAACACATAAATTTGACCCATTTCCGTTTATTAAATTCCATGTCGAGTGCAACGTGAAAAGCGCGTAAAAATAGAGAAATTTTATGCCGGGCAATTCAAAAATACTAGCCTTCAACAGCATCAACAACAACAAAAACAACGGCAATAACAAAATAACCGAAAAAAAATTATATTATATATAGAATGAACGAAAGGTCTATAAAATAAGAAGCCCCCTTGAATAAACGCACCGTACATCGCAGTAGACAGATTGGGCAAGCTAACCTAACCCAGACTAAAATACGCGCTAAGCCGTGCTAGGCTGAGTTGTAAAAGCCAACGTTGAGAGATGTGCAAGTATTAAATTAAATCAAATTGAATTTGTAAAAATAGAAAAAATAAAAATAAAAATAACGCAATTTTTAAATAAAAAGTTACCAACATAAAATGTAACACAAATAAAAATAAATTTAAAAAAGCCATTTTATTGTATGAGTATATAAAAAAAGAAACCTTATCTGCATATACTTCCACATACCAACAACAACAACAACAATTTAATACTACATACATCACACGTTTTTTCCAAAGCTTAAACACAATATACATACATACAGCACACGTATATTGTACGTGTGTTGGTTGCACTGCTTACAGCTCTACTTCCAGATTTTTGAAGTCATTTTTAATGTTCAATTTGGTCACTTGTGTTTTTTTTTTGTTACTTATTTATTCTCTTCTCATTCGTCGTAACACCCTTCTATACTCTAGTGTTATCCTTAAACTGTGTTAAAGTTAAAAAAGTATACAAAGTCAACAAAGTAAAAAAATTGGCCGACAAACAAATGCCAAAATCTACATTTTTTTGCTTTCCTTTAGGCTATCAGCTGTCATATGGTAAGACAGTTGAATGGCATGAAAGGGAAGAAGTGTACATTACTAAAAGTAGCAGCATACAGACGTCAGCGTCAGCGTCAGCATCAGCGTATTTAAGATTTGTTTGTGCATTTTTCTAAGCGTACATATGCTTAGCTCGAGTTTGTTCAGGACTTTGTTTAAAATTTTTTTTATATTTATAGCCAGCCATTCAAGTTAAAGGAAGAGAGGAGGGGTAGTTATATTATAGGTAGCTACTTTATATTTGATTCAATACGTTTAAAAGGTTTTGCACATACTTCATTCTGCTTATGCTTTTGATTTTGGTTTTGCTATTGCTTTTTATTTTTTCTTCCGTTCCGTTCCGTTCGGTTCAGTTCAGTTCAGTTTATTCGTTCAATTCTATTTTCTGACAATAAATATTGATCGAAGCATTTCAATAAAGGGTTAATGTGTAGTGATTTTGCGGTTGACAGTTAAGTTAATTTGCTTGAAAATTTGGTAGTTGAAGTTTATTTAGGGTAAAATTGTAGAAATTTTCAATGACCGTTTCGATCCGGTAACTACCCAACTACCCAACTGCTCAACTGCCTAACTAGCTAACCTTTCTGGTGGTTCCGACGGTATACGTGCGTCGGATGAAATACTCTTTCATCTAAAATGAATTTGTTTATGCTTACATGGCTGTTTGTATTAAAATATTTATGTCAAACTCATTGCATTTGGGTAAACACAATAGACAACTGCAAACTCATCAAGGAAATTGACTATACGAATAAATATAATAAAATCCAACAACAACTAAGTTAAGTAAAGGATGTAATTTTACTGAAGTTGTGGTCATTGAGGTTTAAGCATTTTAAACTATCAGTTTTTTGAAAAAAAAATTTTATCAAAAAAATTAAACCCGAGATGAAATATGTTTGTACATATGCTGTATCTGATGGATGTTGTGGTTTGTTAGTGTTAACTTTTAGCTATGAAAAATAGAAGTATTTCAATGTAATACAGAATTTATACGTTACATATGTCCAGAACTTACTAAAAACTTTTAACCACTTTAATTTTGAAACAGAAGTAAGTCATGAGGTTTCGTTATTTATCTTTAAAACATTACTCTTACTGCTTCTATAAAGATACTTATTTATCTAATGCGCTTTAAGGAAATTCATGAGTTGTAAAAAAAATTATGTACAATGAAAGGAATTTGTTCATTCTCATACGAATATATAGCTTTTGCTCTAATTAGTGTTCAAAACGTGTGCTAAATTTTGCTTAATACAAAAAAAAATGTTGTTATTGTAGTTTACTATTTTTCGAAAAACGTCTTTATACATTTTTTTACAATATTGTAAATTATTAATAACTGTACTTATAAATAAGTGGTGATCCTACAAACTGTGCAAATTATCGAGGGATCATTTTTTTAAATATAGCAACTCAAGAGAAATATGTGAAAGATAGAAGCCAATCATCAACCAACTGATTAGTAAGTGAGCATTTTTGTTTTTCTTAAAGATCTTTCAGTCTTTTCCACGTGCTGTGGACGTTATAATGAAGCAGTGGTGTTTTGTAAATTCCAAAGTGTTTTTTGGAAAAAATATCGTTAAATAATAGAAATACTTCGGAAAATTAAGGTTCGAATTGATTATAATTATAATAGAATATAAAGAAAACAACGATTCAATACAAGTTTTACAAGCTTAAGTCGAGAGTTCACTAGCCAAATACTCTTCTTTTAAATGCAAAAATTTTCTCAACTAAAGGTAGTTAAAAAATCATAAGACCATTTGTGATTTTTCCTATAATGTGAGAAATGTTCTCCATTGGTTTTGTCACTGTTAATGTAAAGCCATTTCAACCGCTCTTATCAACAATAGTCCATATTTCATTTCCACCGCAAAATGGCCCATACAGTCACATACATACATACAGAATTACAACTGGTGCGAACAGCTCAGATGATACAGTCTGCCCTGAGCAGAAGGGAATCAACGGGTATGATTACTTTTGACATCGCCAAGGCATTTGACAAGGTCTGGCACGACGGCCTTATAGTTAAAATATCTCGATTTGGTATCCCAGTCGGGTTGATCAAAATCCTTGGCAGCTTCCTTCGCGAGAGAATGTTCCGTGTAAGAATTAACAGTACCACCTCATCAGTAAGAAGAATAGAAGCGGGTGTTCCTCAAGGATCCCCGCTCTCCCCCTTGTTGTACAACATCTACACGTCTGACATCCCAATGCTAAGTCCTTCGGTATTATCATTATACGCAGATGGCACATGCTTGTTATATTCTGATAAACTTGTAGAAATGTGACCAACATGCTGCAGGAGCATATTAATCTCAGCCTGGGGTTCTTCTATAAATGGAAAATAAAAATTAATAACGAGAAAACTAAAGCCCTGTTTATTACACGTAAACACAGGCAACATCCACCGAGAGTAAGAGTTGATGACATCGTGATTAATTGGGAGGATAGCATTAAATGCTTAGGTATCACGTTTGATAAGAGATTTACTTGACATAAGCATATACAAGTCAAAAGAAACAGTTGCGCTAAAACATTGCAATGCTTACAACCTCTTTTCAAACACAACAACCTTAGCGTGAAGAACAAAAAACTGATCTATAGCCAGATAATTAGACCAGCATTACTTTATGGGTGTGTCGCGTATAGCAAAGCTGCCGACTCTACATATTATACAAAAGCTACAAGTCGCTCAAAGTCAGGCTCTCCGAAGGCTCTTCAAAGTGCCTTGGTACATCCGCACAAACGACATGCTAAGAGACCTTAGAATAGACCCGATCAAAAAAAACATAAGGGACAGCGCCCTGAAGTTATATGCGAAAATTGATTGGCTATGTTATCCTACTTACCACTATCTAATCTTAGAGTAATAACTCTCTGCACGGGGAGATACGCAGATCTTAGATCAATCACTGAATAATCGTGAAGCTTATAGGCAATACATAAATTAGTCAATGAGATGGGTGGGACCCTGTAGTACCCCCAGCTATCAAAGAGTAAAAGTGCTCAATTGCGCTGACTCGAAAAATGGATCAACATACAGTCACGAAATGCAAATCTAGCATCATCTTACATATTAAGGGAAGAATCAAAAAATGTCAATATTTGTTCTGAGAATATTTGTGCTCATGATATATAATTTTATAATATTATTAAGACAAACGAATTAAATCAATCAATCGTTACAAAATAATCTTTAAATAATATTTTTTTTAATGTAACAGTATGTCTCATGAATGCCGTACATGTCTTCATGACCACATGAATATCTTCAATTGCTTTCATGAACTAAGTTCTACCGGTAA